TATCCCCAAAAAAAATTATTTGACAAAAGTGCAAAAATATGATTAATACCTCTGATAGCTTTGTGACTCAATTATATTTATTCAAAAATTTGGGATATAGTGTGAAGAGAATAAGAGGCATGTGTGGTTTGAAAGTGCATTGAAATTAAAGAGACCACCATCTTCTCCTCAGCTTCAAGCACAACGCGGTTGATCCATCTGCCATCCTCTCTAGTTGATCTGAAGAGCGAGATCGCTGTAAATGAACTGGAGCTCACTGTGACAACATCACTGGCAGAGTCGTTGAGCTTAGTCTTCCTTGTTCTGCAAAGTTCAGCTTGAACAAATTTATTTGTCATATATGTGAGAAGTTTAGGACCCACCAGCTTGAAAAGGAGGGACCCGAAGAGAATCGAAGCCAAAGATCAAGTTTGGGGATCCCATGGGAAGAAGGGTCAGCTTCGAGAGTTTGGTGAAGCTTCTTTCAGACACACTGTCAAGTGATTATTGTCAAATCCTAACGCCTCCAACTTGAAGAGTTGCCCCAGACTTTCTGGAAGACTACCATTTAAATGATTTGAGAAGACATGGATCGAGGTGAGTCGACGATGACAAATTCCCAAAGTTGAAGGAATAGGACCAAAAAAAAAAAAATTTCACTAACATCAACTCCATGAGAAGACTACCTCTTTCAGTCATGCTCTGTCTGTCACATGGAGAAGGAGAAGGCCTTGTCTGTAAAGAATAATAGCCCAAAGAATAATTATTGTTCGTTGTAATGTTAAGGATCATCACTTGGTAAGGAAAAAAAATATATATACATATATGTATGTATGTATAACATGAATACGTGAGTGATAGCACAAACATACCCTTTGTCATCGTCGAAATTGTCTTCCCAACTCGTTTAAATGGAAATCTTTCAGAAAGTCCGGGGCAACTCTTCAATCTGGATGCATCAGAATTTAATAATAATCACATAACACGACATGTGTCTGAAAGAAACTAGGCCAAACTCTCAAAGTTAACCCTTCTTTCCAGGGGACCCCAAACATGATATTTGACTTCGATCTCTTTGGGTGCCTCCTTTTCAGGCTCAACAAGGGAGACTAAGCTCAATGACTATATCAATGGTGTTAGTCACAGTGAAGTCGAGTTCATTCACCGCAATATAATCTGGCTTATATCAAACCAACTAGCTAGGGAGGATGGCAGCTGGATCAACCATGGTGTGCTTGAAGGTTTAGGACTTGGGAGGAAAAGATGGTATATTTTTCATTACAATGAATGCAATCCATTCTCACTCAAAGAGGTATATGGTTTGATGGGAAGTGATGGATCAGCACCAATGACAGATATTTATATACAGCTTTGGGAAAAATAGTAGTAGTCATGTTTGATTAGCGTACTAAATAAGCTCTTTGCTTCCTCTTTTAATTGTCTCGTCTGGTTGCAATGTCCCTAATGAAATGATACGAAAATACAGGATTCTTCATGATAACCTTCATGGCTAAGATTAGCCAATCCGCCTCAGGTGTTCACAGAACAGAAGAAAAGTGCAGAAACGGAAATGGAAAATGACAAAAGCTGAAATTAGCAGGGAAAGGAATCCATTCAGAAGGAGGTTTCTAATTGAAATTTTCCCCAAGTAGCTGGTGGGTCCCACAACTAACATGTTGTTTTCTTATTGACAACTTCATTTGAGCAATAATGGCATCTTCATTATTGCTTTGGACGGCTGCACGCCGTTGCATGGAATTGGCAAAACTCGATCCATAAATTTGTTTGTACGTAATGAACCATTAATAGCGGCAAAGGGAAGAATGAGAATGCTTTCATAAGGTCTCGTCATCACTTTACTTTACGATATTCCACACTAATAATAATGTGGTCTGAACCAAGGCAAATACCGTCACATCATCACCATTATTATTTGCTTTCGCTTAATGCTTGCATATTATTTCTTCTTTTTGTGTTTCCAACCACATATCAGCAGCTTCATTCCCCCTATTATTATATGCTGCTGGGTTTGCTGAATCCTGATGTTCGATGAGGCAGTTAATGACTTGAATGGGATCTCCGGGCTATTTTAAAGAGGTTTCATATGGTCAATGAATTTATAAGCCAACAGAATGAAAACTCTTCATTAGTGGGAAGTTTCAAGTTTGATTCCATCTGTAATCTCAATCTTAGGACGCGGAACGGTTTAGGTGCTCATCACACCCCGAATTCATTAGACATTGAGGATTCAGATTTAAATTTTTTAATTAATTATTTCAACTGGAAAATCATTTTTTGAAAAAATCATAATTGAGAGAGTATTTTTACTTTTAGATTCTATAATCAGTAAAATAAATGTCTTTAAAAAAAATTATGTATCTAGATAGTTTAAATCTGATGAAAATCCAAACTCATTCCATCAAGACGTTAGAATATATGGGAAGAATTTCAATAAACTGTCTTAATAGCTACTCCTCCGGTCCTAAATATAAAACATATTTTGTAGTGCAATTTGTATTGCAAAATGGGTCTTATATTTAGGACCAGAAGGAGTATTTTATATCAATTAACCCTCAAAACATTCAAAAATTTCAATCAACCCTCTTGGAGCAAAATAAAATTAAAATTTAAAGGTGAAACTAAAATAATACTCATCCTCACTTTTTTTTTTTTGACCAGCAATACTCATCCTCGCTTATCCCATTACCATCTAATGGGCCTTACATGTGACAGCTTTTTCTCGAAAGCCTCCTCACTTATTATATTAATATTACTATACTTATGGGCTTACTTGGGCTCTTTTCTTCGCCCTCTTTATTGAGGTTTGGGTCTTTTTCCTTCCCCAACCTTATGTAGGCTTGGATCACGTTCATTTTTTTTCCAGGTACTTCTGATTGGATTTGAACTTGCCGGGACTCCCTCTCTCTCACTACTTTTCTCACTCCTCTTGCCTTTGCCCAAAAACAAATTCTGTGTAGCAATCTTTTACTTCCCTCCATTTTATTATAACTATCAAAAAAAAAAAATTCATTCCATAATAAGTGTCATTTTCACATTTTAAAAAGGTATCAAATGATATATTTCTTATTTCTTCTTGTTAATACACTCATTATTAGTAAAATTTATAAGGCAATGTGAACATATTTCATTTGACCTAAAAATAAAAATACAACTTTGTTAGTTTTATCTTAAAATTAATAGCTTTTTAAGTTTAAATCTACTTAGCATATGTTTCCTAAAAGAATAACACTCTGAAGAAAATAATTAAGAATAAAACTGTATATTTATAATATAATAAAATTACCAAGATGCCTTAATATATTAAGGACATAGACAAATACTAGAGACATTTTAAGAAAGTAATAGATTGATTTTACAAAAGTTTAAATTATTTAATGATTTCTTAATCTATATTAAAAAATTACCACTCCGGTCTTTAATATAGGATATAATTTGAGAGTTGATATTGATTCTATAAATAAGACCTATTTTACATGTTTATTAATTTTTTAAAATTAATCTTATCAATATTCTCCCAGCGATAATCAAATAGGAGAGAAAAGAATTAACAAAGATGATTATGATGTTTTAAAAAAAACATATCATATTAACTAATTTAACAAGTGTCATCAATCTACTTAAATTGGTTAATTAAGTTTTAAATTAAGAACCCGATAAGTACTACCATTATCGTAACACTTGCAATGAAATAGATGGAAACGTATGGAGCATGTGTGACAGTCAAATTTAGAGGCTTCCAAGTTCCAAAGCTCCACTCATTCATAACATTAATATAATAGAGAACCTTCCCTTCGCCAACATGCCTCTTTATAGATAACAAAAGAGAAACAACATTAAAAAGAGCATTATAATTATAAAACTGCCACCTTCATATCATTTTCTACATAGTAGTATTATTATATGATGATGCCATGCCTGGTAAAAGATGCGTCCCAGCTAGACACCCCCTCTCTCTGTCACTTCCCTCTATTTTCAACACGACTGGGGGCGTGGGCCCACTCTCTCTGATCATAAAATAAAGAAAAGAGCTACATATGCAACGGTCCACGCGCTTTTCTTCTTTTCAAAATGCCAACATGCTAACGGACAAAGATGCCCCATTCAAATTACCCAATCCCCTGTCCCCACCCTGCAACACAATAATGTCTTATGATCCAACTCCACCCATTCAATGGAGACTTGCTGATACGTCCATAGGTTTGACTCTCTCTCTCTCTCTATCATGAAGCTTATAATTATATTCCTTCAATCCTAAATATAATATCCAATTATATTACAAAATAAGTTTTACATTTAAAACTAAAAAAAATACCAGTCTATCAAATTTAAATTTTAATAAATATGTTTTGTTAAATTATAATGCTGCCTCAACCGGTCCTTATATAAAATTGAAGATAACCTGGTTTAGGACATCATCGGGTACTAAACTAAATGTGAGCATACATGAAGAATTAGCTCATCCCGTTTAGTTCCCAATTTTTAAATACCTCACTCCATGCACTCCCTCATGTCCTTTCCCCCACTTCTCAAGCCTATGGAATTTTCTAAAGTAAGGATACAACATTTTTGTTCTGCTCAAGAGTGCTTTTAAAATACTCTTCCGGTCCTTCATATAAAACCCAATTGTTAAATTAATTTTAGTCTTAAATATAAGACATATTTCTTATATTTATCAGTTTTCTCTAAATTATCCCTATAGATACCCCCTCAACCATAATCAAGTGAAAGAGGAAGAAAGGATATTAAGAAAGATAATTATAGTATTTTAAGAAAAACGTGTCACATTTCTTATAATTAACTAACGTACCTAACTTTTTTAATTTAATCAAATTAGTTAAATGGATCTTATATTAAAGACCGAAAGAGTATAATCCAAACGTCCTCTATAGCTTCACAATTGTTAGGTTCACCATTTTTTATCCATATGCATGAGAAATACTTGGCTGTACCAATAATTCAGCTTTCTTTTAATATTTTGAAAGTAAATTGATGCATAATAATAATACCCCCCAGGAATATAGAGACAATAAGAGTCACATGGACGTTAATAAGGATCCGGTTTGGAGTCCTACACTGCACAACCAGCTTATACAAGAAGCCAATAAAAACTCATCAAAATCGGAGTAACAGTAAATCAATCCTACCTTCTATAACACCTACCTGAGTTTTCATTGGCCTGAGTATTCCTTCGTGCTTTAACCATGCGACCCCGCTTTGACATACTTGTCCCTTCTTTTTCTTTACTTGTCCCTTCATAATTAAACCTAATTTACAATTCTTCTACCTAATAATAATATGGAGCCACTTGCAGAGACCAATGGCTTCTCGTGTCTCTCCAGCGGCCATTACCTTTGCTTCATGGAATTGTGCTTCTTTTTCACCTTGGGTTGGGACTGTGAGAGGTAGACTTGGCACTGTATAATAGTTTTACCAATCTTGAAACCTGGTACCACCGTGAATGCCACTTGTGGGTATGATTCCACGGTCTGGTCTGACTCTGGAGAGACGAATATCTCGTCGTTTATGCTTTCCATGTACACATCAGAGTATCTGCATCCCTTCCTTAATTGAAAGATTGAAGCTTGCGGCTCAAAAGAGAAGGCCAAGCAATGCAAGAGCCAAACCTTCTTCGCCATCTCAGCAAAAGATGAAAAGAAGCCAGTGTTGGGAAATTCTCCTGCATTCAAAAGGTTTCTCTGGTTCAGATCACCGAAGATCGATGATTCCATCTTTGGATGAATAAGTCGCAGGTACTTGATCCGGCAGAACTTTGCAAATGGAGACCTTGGCTTCTCAGCTAGATATTCTTTTGCTCTGATGGATTTCAGTTCATTGAATCTCAGGAAGAACACCTGTCGTAGGCTGTTTCTTTCCGGCAATGACTCATTTGGAAGGGAGAAATTAGGAAACTGAAAAGAGTCAAACATTTCCCTGCAAACAAATGACTCAATTGCATAACACTTGTGGTCCTCTTTCAAGTACACTACATTCTTTTCAATAGCACCCACAGCAGCATCAATATCCCAACCAGCAGATCTCATCTCATCCACAATTAACCGAACAAAGTTTCGAATGGACCTGACTGTCTGGCGAAGGACTGTAATAAAATGGCTAGAATTTAGTCCTGATATATGAAGATTATCAAGCACAGATAATGACCCGCTTTGATTCAATCTCTTCTCCATTGACCTGTTCTGCTCAATAGCTTCCTGCAACTTCTCCTTAAGAAACACAATCTCAGATTCCTTGAGCCGAACCTGAGACTCTGACTTCTTTCCCATAATGTCATAAGTCTTTATAACACTATGAAGCTCCTTCAATTCAGCCTCCAGCATTGCTGCCTCTGGTGAAGGATCAAATTGCTTTTTCAAGTAACACTGCTTTATCTCAGACAAGTTCTTTAACTCAGAGACTAGCAATTGATCCGCAGCTTGAACACCTTCAGGCTCATATGGCGACTGAGCATACTGAAGTTGAGCATATGCAGCTTTAACAGATGAAATGCTAGCAAACAGTTTTGCAAGCAGAGCTTCCATCGCTGCTCTTTCATGAAATTCTTCATCTTCCTCATCAAAAGACTGAGACCAGTTCAAAACCTTATCAATACCTCCTTCATCTTTAAGATCTCTATCTGCTTTAACACTCTTCAGTCCATCAGCCGGAGCAATTCCAGTCAGGGTTCGAAGATGAAGAACCTTGGCAATAGTTCGAGCTAGTTTCTTCTTGCTTGGCGTCACAGCCAATGGCTGGACCGACTCCATCAGCAGAAAATTACCCAAGTATGCAAAGTGGTGTAGTATTTGTGAAATGGGTTTTGTGCCTGTGTTTGAAAAGAGTGACAAGAGAACAATAAAGTTAGAAGATGATGGTGATCTCCATAATGAACGTGCCCCAGAAAAGGAAAAAGCAACATGCTTTAACACTTAGATCGAGGCCCCTGATGAAGGATTGGAATTTCATTTTGTTCTTCATCTATTAAAGTTTTGAGTGTGTCTGCTTTCCGCAGGGTATAAAGTTGTCACGGCGGATTTAGTAGACAAGGAAGCGAAAATAACATATAAAATGCATCAAAAGTTCAAAGTTCAATGTTCATTTCAGGAATATTAATCATCTTTCCAAAAATGACTAGTTTTAGGAAGAAAATTTAAATCAGAAACAAGAACTCAACATCAAGCAAGGTATAGAAAAGAAGATTCAGTGAGTGAATCAAGCCAGCAAGTAGCAACTGTGATAAAAATGAGATCTTCAAAAAAGGAATAGCTCAATACAGTGTAAACACAGTATCAAGCACAATTACTTTTTCCTGATTTAACATGTTGGTCAGCTCTTGTTGAGCATGCTAAAGTTTCGCTACCCAGAGCATAATCAGAACCTTTTTCCTAATATAATTTAATTGAACGGGAAATTAGTTGTTTTTTCTTTGGTATGAGTCATTATGAAAGTAATCATGACTAAAGATAATCATTATCAATACTAATCCTATTTATCTCTGTCCCATGTGTTACCGAGAAGGCAAGGTCTACCGCCAGATCTACAACTTCAGAAATGGTGAAAACAGAGGAGAAATACTGGAAGGTTAAAAATACAATTAGCGTGTTATTTACAATTATTATAAGTACATATTACGATAATAAATCTGATTTTTAACAAAGAAAAAAGTCTTATTGTTATGATTCATAACTCTTAGGATTCCCTGAGGTCCTGATTCAAGATCTAGAAAGATCTGGCTTTAGCAGCCTGAGCCCACGTTGGGACCCACCAAAGTGAATACCTGACATGAAGCTTTTAACTTCACTACCAGACAATGTGAAAAATGAGCATCGTCATAAAATATTTACCTCTCACTAACAGATAATTCCTTCATAACATTTCATGTTTGATTATGCTACATAATGCCTAAATGTTTCATAGGTTCTAGCACTAGAGATGTGAGTAGTTAGTAAGAAGTTGCTTTATCCTTTTGAAATTACAGTAAGGATATCTTCTTGCTTTACTTATCTTACGACTGTGTGAGTGTATAAAATAAAATAACATATCATGTTTGTACTAGAAAGAAAATATTGTCTTGTTAGCATAATTATGTTTTTCACGTGACGACTGACGAGGATCACCAAGTCATAAAGCACTTAGGCCGTGTGCAACAGTATATAAACAGTACGAACATCATCTTTTCACTCAACTTGATATTTTGCTCTCAAATTAACATAAACAACTGTCATGACACATCAAATGAGTTTTCATTAATTACTGTCATTTCAAAACCAACAAGGACAAACATCCAAATGACTATGATTAAGAGTCAAGACAATAATGTAAGACCTTAAAAAAGTACATTAATGGGCACTGAAGCCTCAGAAACATGAACCAAGTTCAGCTTAAAACCAGACTAGTAAAAGAAGTAGATAACGGGCCTGTTTGAGAGGTCTTGAGAAATTCCTTATAAACATGTTATCTTACGTCTAAATTACCACTAAAAAGCTATTTATAAACTGTTCCTATCTTGTATTCCGTAAATTACTACTAAAAAAGCTACTTATAAACTGTTTCAAACGGAACAACATAGTAACTGACCAATTTTATACTAGAAAGATGCTAAATGCTCTGTGTTCGTACTGGAAGAGAGCTATTCCATCTAGAACGCCAGAGATATATAAAAAAATGACAGGAAAATGAATGATTAACTGGAGAATATTAGAGGCGCAAGCCATTGATTTAAAAATATCAAAGAAAATTGCTGTACCTTGAGAGATATGCCAAGAAATCGAGCAATTAATCTTTCAAGTTCATATCATTGTAAACGTAAATCTCAAGGAAACAGAGTAAAAACTGCGACCTTTAAAAGCCCTGCAACCGAACACACCATAGTAAGAAAAACACCCAAGAACAAGCCCCAGAAAACAGAAAAAGATCTCCCCTTTCCCCCAAACGGTAAGAAACAACAAAACAAGACTGAAAAGCCAAAGCAATGAGTACCCCAACCAGCTCACGGAAACCAACAAGAACCCCCCAAAAAATACCTTCAAGCATTAGAAAGAAATCGACGAAAAGCTATACAAAAAGCGAAACGCGTTCGAAAACTTGTCTTTAGGAAGATATCAAAAACTCAGACACGGACTTCTTGTCTTCAAACTGGAATCAAACACAAAAGCTTCCGATTTCAATCCTCTAAAAAAATGGGGATGCTAAAACGAGGAAAGAAGCGAGTAATGAGAGGCAAAATGATGACAGAAACGAATGGAAGTGGAAATGAGGCTTAGCTAACCTCACGATGAAGCTTCTTTCTTTGTGAATCCTGATGCTTCAATTGCTTCAGTGCTTGCACAGGCCTGTGCTCTGCTTTCTTCTCCTTTTTCTTCTTTTCTTTGCCGTTCTGATGCACAAGGCCCCGACTGATTACTAAAGGTACCACAGGTCTATAGTACCCCTTGAGAGAGACAGAGGGACACAGCTGTGAGAGAGAAGGGGGGAGGGAGCTGGAGGACGGAAGCAGAGCAGAGAGAGAAAAACACAGGAAGGGACCGGAGGAGAGAGAAAACAATTGAGAAGACGAAAATGGGCAAAGCGTTGGGAATTGGGGAGATCACATAGACAATTGGTCTAGTCGCTTTCCAGGACCAATTGATGCCATTTCTCGCTAGCCTTCTTTCACCATATTACAAAGCAACAGACATTAGGCACTCAATATCCATTAATGTTGGTGGAAAGTGGAAAGAATTTGACTACGAGATTAAAAAAAAAGTAGTTCTTATTTTATATTCCCTCCGTTTTTTATTATAAGAGACGAATAACCGAATTACATTGATAAAAAAAACAGTTAAAATTAGTTAAGAATAATCAATATGTAAAAAGTATAATTTTTTTTTCAAAAATACCCTCATTAATAAGGAGAGAGAACATGAGAGAGAACAATGGTAATTTATTAAAAGAAAGAGAAGTAGGAAGGAGAGAGAGTGTGAGTTGGAGACAATAATATGGGTAAAATAGAAAATCAATACAAAAAAGTAGAAACAACTTTTAAGTGTCTCTTATATATAGGAACATGCCATAAGCATCAAATGTCTCTTATAATAAGGAACGGAGGGAGTAATAGTGTTGATTCTTAATATAAAAACTAAATAATTGATTTAAAGATATTAAAAAATTAATTAAAATAGTTAATTGTAACAAATATAAGTTAACTTTTCTAATCTATCATTTTCTAGTTATGTGTATTAAATCAATAAAGATATTTTAAAAAAATTATAAAATGAATTTAGAAGACAAAGTGTATTAAGATTAAATATTGACTAAATTCAACTCTTACAAAGGCCTTATGTTATTCACACGATGGGCCTCTAGATACTTCTCACAGAAAAATCGTTACTTCTTCTTATGCATATTCATCAACGATTAAACGTTTTGTGGTTTGATTAAATATAGTTAAATAACTTTGAAAATTACTAGTATTCTTTCAGTTCTTAATATAAGACTCAATTGTTAAGTTAGTTTTAGTCCTAAATATAAGACTCATTTCTCATATTTATTAATTTTCTCTGAATTACCCTTATAGATACTCCATCAACCATAATCAAGTAGAAGAGGAAGAAGGGGTATTAAGAAAGATGATTATGGTATTTTAGGAAAAACATGTCATATTTTTATAATTAACTAACTTACTTAACTTTTTAATCTAATTAAATTAGTTAAATGGATTTTATATTAAGAATCGGAAGAATATTTTTTTTACCCTCAACACTATAGGTATTTCAGTTCATATATATATATATATATATATATATATTATAGCATTTGGAATTTTGTATCATTAATCCCACTTGAGCACACTTTTCAGGAATTTTGTATGGCTTGTGCCGTGCATGTTTGTGCGCCTATGGGTTTTGTTTTTCCGACCGTAATTTGTGCCTTCAATCTTGTCTGGTCATAAGGATAATAATGGATTTAAAATATAATATTTTAATTTCTTTTGTTGTATTTTGTTTCGTTTGAAACCTATTTATTTGGAAAAAAAAATTTACTACTATGCTATAAATCATTTATTATTTTAAGATAGTTTTTGGTTTGAAAAAATCCCTTCAAAAGATGCTTAAATAATCCACATTTTTATTTGGGTTATTAAATTTATCAAATTCCCATTTAGATTATATGACTTAAAGAGTAATTTTAAAATTTTATGAAATGTCTCTAATGCTCTTTTCATTAGAAGTCAAATGAGAATTTTAAATTAACATATTCTATTTCATAATTAATAAATTTCAGTTCTAAATTAACAACTTTAAGTCTCCATAACATAGTTGCAGTAAGCTTTTGAATAAAATTTGATCGTTCAAAAATTTGATCACAATACAATTTTATTTAATTACACAATTCACAAGTTTCAATTCTAAACTAATAATTTTATGTCTCAAAAATACATTTGCAATGAGTTTTTGAATAAAATATGATCACAATACAATTTTAAAAATTAACATGTTTCATTTCAAAGTCACCGTATTTCAATTATAAACTCATAACTTTTTGTTTCTATAGCACACAATAAATCTCTAAATAAAATTTTATTACAATACAAACTTAAAAATTAACATGTTCTATTTTGTAGTTAATATATTTTAATTCTAAATTAACAATTTTTTATCTCTATAACGCACTTGTAGTATTAAGGGGGTAATATTTAATATAAAATTAACTCAATATTGTCTCCTTAATCGATTTTCTGACTTTCTAGTGCAGACACCAAGTTTTTTTTAATAAGAGCGTTCATGCAATACGGGAATAATAGAAAATTATCATCTCTCTAAGTTTCTAATAAAAGGAGTATTATAATCACTTTATAAAATTTTAAAGTCCCTCTTTAGGTTGTGTGATTTAATTAAGGTTTTGACAAATTTAATAACCTAAATAACTATTTAGGCTATTTAAGTGTTTTTTAAGATTTTTTTTCTTTTCATTTTGAAAATAAAAAATGTGTTTGAAAATGTGTTTAAAAAAACAGAATGTCTTTTATATATATATATATATATATATATATGTTATTACCAAAAAAAAATTTCTTTTATATCCACACAGATTTAAATTAACACCTCATATCTAAGGGGCCGGTTTTTTAATGCTTTGGTTTTTGTTTTGGTTTGGCCCGCAAAAGAGGGAATTCGAGGGAAGGGCATCGGTGGAATTTCATAAGAATAATCAGTGAAGCGTAATGTCAGAGATGTAACGACAGGGTGAAAAGGAAGTACGGAATTGAATGGTGAACCTGAACCTTGGTTGACAAAAATAGGCAAACCCCTCACAGCCAAAAAACAAAAAAAACAGGAGCATATAAATATATATATATATATATATATATATCAGTAATCTATTTTCTTTTTTGGCCGGAAAAAATTAGATAGCATGTAAATGCTCGGACTTGAGGTTAGGTATATCAGCCATTTAATCAATTGCCACGTGTAACGATAGTTCTTGTCTATGGGGTCCACTTCTTTCGTTTTTGATGTAACGGATATAAATGGCCTTGATGCTTTCACCGGCTGTTCTTTGTTTGACTCTACGTATCTCACCGGAAATCCACATATTGTTTCAGAAATTTTTTTAAACTTATTATTGCAATAATATATTTAATACTTAATTTCTACTTTTTATTCTCTGTTGAAATGAAACAAAAATAAGATTAAGAAATTTTAATTAATTTTTTATTACTCTTTTGTTTTACACCTTTTTATCAAAATTTTAAAATATCATCTCTTTAAATTTTTAAATCAAACTCATTAAAAAATTTCATTTTCTTTTTTTATTTCTCTCATCCCATACGTAGAATTGGTTAAAAAGAAATAAAGTAACTAATCTTTTTGTAGCGTAGACTTTTTGAAGAGGCTTTAATACCAGTGACAAGACTCTGTCCATATATACGGAGAGGAATTGAACCCCTAACTAAATATTTAAAAAAAAAAACCTGCAAAGTAACAATTAATTATGCGAGGCCTTCTAGATTTCTTTCTAACAAAGGTTTATAGTCTCATTTATCTATTTTCTTTTGGTCAAAAAATAATTATCTACTACTCTGATTTTTAATGTAAGATATATTTAACTAATTTAATTAGATTAAGAAAGTTAGATAAATTAATTAATTATAAGAAATATAACATGTTTTTTTGTAAAATACCATAATCATCTTTCTTAGTTTTTTCTCTCCCTCTCTTACTTAATTATATTTCACGGAGTATCACTAAGGATAATTTAGAGAAAATTAATAAATATAAAAAATAATTTTATATTTAAAATTAAAATTAACTCAATGATTAAATCCTACATTAAGGGGATCAGGAGCATATTTTCATAAATCAAACATATTAAAATCTCCCATCCTCTCCCTTCACCCCCCCCCTCAAATCAAAACATAAAAATAAGAAAGACATTTCCGCCATTGACGAAAATAAGCCAAAAAGATAATAATATTAATGATCATTAAAATTGAACTTCCACCTCTTCATTAAAGTCAACTCTTTTTTTTTCAATTTTTTTATCTAATCTAATTCTTATACTCCTCAGGTCCTTATTATAAGACCCCATTTGACTTTTTATTTGGTCCTAATTATAAGACCCCGATCCATTTTATCTCTTATATTTATGCATTTTTTTCCAAGATAATCCTTCTAATAATGATAGTTTTAGCCAATATACTTAATTAGCAAGGATATTTTAGGAATGACAACACTTATTTATTATAAATAACCAACTTAACTTACTTCCTTAATTTCCTCAAATAAGTCAATTGGGTCTTATAATTAGGACCGGAGGAGTATTAAATATGAAGGAGCATGTGTTTCTCGATCAAGCTCAAACAAAATTTTATTACTAGTATTTTGTAAACAGATGATGATAAATGTCAATAGAAGGTAGTGGCAATCCATGTGTTGTCTCCATCACGTATGAATTTTGTGAAAAAGATAAATTATGAATACATAGTAATAGTAATAGTAATAGCAGTAACAATAATGAGAAATAAAGGGGAAAAAATGACGTTTTGTCCCCTTTTTCGTTTGGTTCAGTGGATGCATATTTAAAGTGGAGTACTATCTTACCTCCTTGTTCACTTTTCAGTTTTCCCCACAGAAACATAACAAGAAAAATCATAAAAAAAAGACCTTAGAATTGTAAAAACGCAGATAGGGATCCTTGACAACTTCACTATAGTTTTTGATAATAATAATATGTCATAAAGTTGTCAAACCCAACATGAAGTTGTCAAGAATTCCTATCTACGTTTTTACAATTTCAAGATCTTTTTTTATAATTTTTCCAAACATAATACTCCTCTGGTCCTATATTTAAGGCCGGAAGAGTACAAAAATTCATAAGAAGTTCGTGTAGCTATTTTAAAAACAATTAAATAAATAAAATTGAGTTGCAAAAAAATTGTTTTTGGACCACCAACTAAGTTGCAACTTGCTCAGATCCTAATAAAAAAGGTTGTATACAAGAAAAG